CGGGTTGGCAACCACTGTTTTTTTTTATATTTAGCTGTTCATCAGGAAAATGCTGCCGTTAATCTACTTTGTTTTATTCTTGTGTTTATTTTAAGTTTTCATCAGGAAAGTGCTGCTGCCCCATCCCCATCTTGTATTATTGCTTACGACGCGGGTTAGTATCATCCCGTGTATAGATAAATTCTCTTTTATGCCACAACTTGCTGCACACAAGCCACTAACCTTAGTAAGACATGCAGGAAATCGCGGAAGTTGGCTCAGAACCGTGTTTTGTACTACAAATCCTAAGTGGAAACCTTTTCCTTTTGGAGGTAAACACAGACCTGAACTTGTGATGGACTCGTATGTTAAAACATTATTGAATTTTAACAACATAAAATTTGACACGAGGAAAGTTTTGATAATTAATTACCTAATATTTAAGTACATATTTTACATACTCCTACTTATTAACGATATCACACTTTGTGCTAGTAGCGTTTTCACTTAGTGCCGTCGAAATCCAAAGAGTTTATTAAATGTCCAGTAAAATCGTCGATGCGCTGTTGAATTCGGAATGATGATTCTGTTTTTACGTCGTTTCCGCCTGTAGTTTTAGTCACAGAATGTATTTTCAAGATAAATGAATTAATCATCTGAATTATAAAAGAACATTTTTTTATGGTAACAAATAAGTTTTTTGTATGAATTAAGTGCTGTGAATATAAATAAACCCAGATTGGGGGAAATGGAATAATATCTGGTAACCCCGGGAAAGTACGTCCCGCCTATTTCTATCTCAAAAGCATACGCGAATGCTTTATCTAGTCAATCCTCAAATGTCAAATAATCATGAGAGTGTATCAACAATAAAAAAATGGGTATGGACACTAATTAGTGTACAAATTCTTTTAAAAAATTGGAAATTAAGTATGTGATTACTTCTGTTTGGGTGCGGCACCTCAACCAAGACCCTATTGAAAACTTTTTTGGAACCATTAGAAGCTATGGGTGCCGCAATATTAATCCAATACCAGAACATTTTCAGAGTGCCTACACTACACTTTTAATTAACAATATGTCCAGTGTCCATGCCTCGGGAGCTAATTGTGAAAAAGATAATTGTAAGGCTTTAGAATCTGTTATCATCACAGATAACTGCAAAGCTGCTGCAACCTGTGACCTTAAAACAATCCCGGATGTAGATATAATTCATATTAAAGAGAACACTGCTCCATATATAAAGGTGGCATTAAATTATGTTAGTGGATACTTTGCGAGATGTGCAAAAAAATGTTTTTAAAAATTGTAGCGAATGTATTGCTAAAATAATCGCCTTACAAGAAAATGAAATCATTAACTTTCGGGAATATGCAGATAAACGGTGGCTTTGCAGTCCCACTGAGTCTCTTATAGTGTTGTATCTGCAGTCATAACAAATTCAGTGTTAAAAAATATTTAGATATAGACAATGTTGAAGACTTCATAAAAATCTTGATACTAATTCATGTAGATTTTAATTTTTTGCTATGTAATATACACAAAAATTATAAAAGTATTTATTAAATTTGTTTTGCCGCTTTTTTTCCGTTCAGTGCGGGAACGAAGCCTCGGTCCTGCAGTGCCGCAGCCAAACGCTTAGCCTCTGCGCTACGGAGTCGTCATTTAGCTTTTACTTAATTAATTATTAGTATAATAGTGCGTTTTAATTTTATATTTTCTTTACACATGTTTTTGTACCTAATAACTGTAGAGATATAATTACAAATTTCAGCGTGTAAAATACAATGATTTGTTATCCTAATCGGCATTTTTACTCAATCCCCAGATTAAAAAAAGTATTGCTCATAAATAATTCAGTATAGAGAACTAACTTTTCTTATGTAAAAATATCGATAAACAATATATCGATAAAAGTTTTATCGATAGAATTATTCGAGGATAGACATTTCCAGCACTATTAGAAATCGCCTATGTTGTCAGCACTGTTTGTAAAAAAATAATTGTCATGTCTTGATGTTGGTAGAGTAGCTTGGCGCAATGTCATACATTCAAGCTGAGAACAAATTATCGGACGCGTCCGTCAGCCGCGGCTTATTTGAATCTAGCCAGTACATTTAATACTACATTGTGCAAACTATCGGTCGTAAGACGCGGACGTGCCCTTGGGTCGTCCTTGAGCGTTCAAACGTCCGAACAGAATCTAGCCGGCTGGATATTTGTGCGTCCCCGGACGGTGTGCACAGGCCACGGGACGCGTCCGCGGACGTTTCGAGCGTCACAAACGAACCGACCGCGCTCGCGACATGTCAGACGAAGAAAATTTAATTGAATGTGTTCGTGGCCACATAAATACTACTTTAAAACAGGAAGTGTGTTAAACATCATTTTCAATCAGACTAAGCAGAAAATTAAATTGGTTTTCATTAATTCTTAAGTACATTTTGTAACGTTTATCATCTTTTTGTAAGTCTGGATACAATGTATGAAATTCACCATACTCGAGTCGTTTTACATTAATATCATGGACCCAAACACTCCTTTTCACTTTTTTTTTTTTTTGGAGTACAACATAACTCTATAAATTCGTCCTCGCTGTCGCTGCTTGTCCTGTTTCTCGATTGGAAACACCTTTATAGAATGACTGAAGTGAGGCGTCCGAAGACGCCGTCTTAACTACCGTGCACACCGCTAAGCCGCGACTGTCAGTCGCGGCTGACGGACGCGTCCGATAATTTGTTCTCAGCTTTACTTTTTCTTAGGAAGTCCCGCCTCTTAAACGTAGTGGTTATATTCTCTTTGGCTAGATATAGGTATTTTTTGGTAACGGACAGCTACAATTTAATGAAATTTGTAGCTAAACTTTTTAGCTACTTTTTCTAGCAACTTTTCATTTCATCATGAAATGTGAGACTATCGAGATTCGTAGAGTAGGGTACCGAGTCTTGAAAGCAAAATAAAAACTAAACGAGAATCTATGGTCATAAAAGATGCTTTTAGATGCTATGGCTATGGTAGGTTTAGGTCGGTGTTGGCCGGGAATTCCCCGTTTCCTGCTGCGTTACGACAGATTACTCACTAACCTACCACTAAAGTGCTTATTACATTATCCAATTTTTAGAAAATCTAATTAGGAACCTAAGTTGGAAGCTAGTGATCACATTACACTAAATTGTATTCTAAATCGTGACGAAGCACATTCTTAAAAGAAGTATCGACGGGGTTGCACGTTTGATCGATGGCGCCGTATTTATCAAAACAGCAGAAAAGAGGACTTGCCTTAGCCGTGGTGGGAACAATGGATATTAAAAAAAGAAAAAAGAGAATATGCTGGGTTAAGGAATACTTGTCATTGTATTTGTAAATATTTAACAACACCTTGAAGCCCTCTTCACGCATTGCTTTTTTTAAATAGTTTTCATCATTTTTATTATACAAATAGGGCATTTACCCTATACAGGTCTATAATTTGTAATAACACCTCTTTTTCTGTGGACATGCTGCCACACGAACCACTGCTCAATTCTGTCGCTTCACTCGCCATCGCAAACAAATGTCGCACGCGCAGTCAAGACATCCACTTTGGTCGAAGCGCGAGCGCCGACTGGTCGTTCTAAATCGTAACGTTGCGATTACACTGTCCTAAATTGTAGACAATTTAGAAAGTAGAGCGGTCGGGACCTCCAATTTTAACTAAATCGGATCCTAACTGTTCTAACTATGATTACACTTTCCAACTTCCTAATTAGATTTCCTAAAAATTGAATAATGTAATAAGCGCTTAACCAAAATAGTACACGCTACTCGTATTCTACCTTATGTTGTTTTGTTTTATCCATATAAACTAATTTTATTTGAAAATGGATTTATCTTCGAAAAAAAAAGCGTATGCACAGAAATATAGACCGAAGTGGGAAAATATGGACGAATTTAAAGGTTGGTTGAGTTTCATAACTCTGAACTCAATCCTCTGCATTAGTGACTCCCTGAGGAAAAGTGGTAATTGCTGCTATAACCGTGTTTTATCTAAAGATGTACTGTATAAAATGGGCACCGCTGTGAACGTAATAAAACGAAAGTGAAATTAAATAACGTACAGTCACGAGCAATAATATGTAAACAACGTAGAACTTTGTTACGTTAAGCGTTCCGAAACAAAACTATTTGTGCCACAAAAGTCGACAATAAATATAAAAAAATCCTTTGTTCTTTACATATTATTGCTAGTGACTGTGCACAAGACATTTTTAACTCTCTTGTCGGAAATTAAAAATTATTGTCAGAAATTGGCATTTTAATGTAATCTACCTACGTACTGTAACATTTAGCTACTTCTAGCAACTTTTGGGGGTAAAAAGAGCTGGCAATCTAGCAATATTTTGAAAAATGTCTAGCAACTGGGTGAGTTTTGGCGGGAAATTGACCGGCGGCGGTTTGCTGCTCCTGTATTATTGTTTAAATAATGGTTTGAAGTGGACTTTGATATGTAAAAGTGTTGCGATTTTGTGTATTAAGTGTCTACGCATGTGAACTATTAGTGGAAACAGTGAAACAAGTGCTCTGATGGTGATGGATTCTCAAGATAAGCTGTTTGTTTGCATAGGCACCTTTAGATACCATCGCCAACTATCAGCTGTCTGCTGGATCAAGTTGCCGCCAAAATCTCCCAAGAACTGCACAATGTGACGCATCAACATATTGTGAAGCAGTATACTATGAAGGAGTGGGGAAATTACAATAAACCGAATAAAAATACTTAAGACTTGGCCTAAAGGTCTAGATACCAGGCCATAAACTCCAAAAAAAAAATCTAGCAACTGGGTAAAACTAGCAGTTGGCAACACTGCATACAATGTCATGTCAACTCAACACATCAACTAAAACTAAATTCGTAGACTGGTATACAGTAATCTGTGAACTAAATGTTTTGGTCAATCATAATATTTTTATAACATAATTTAGTTGTAAATTATTAAATTTTCATTTACATTGGAGTTGTAATCTTATTATTTAGCCTATCAATGGCGGGTACTTATTATTTTGTTATTGTTGGCCATTCTGATAATCCCATTTTTGAAATGGATTTTATTCCACTGACTAAAGAAGTTAAGGTAAGTTGATTTTTGAAATGAAAAGACTACTTAGAACGATATATATCGACCTATCCGTAGAATAAAGCAACATTTGCAAAATCTTACTTTACAGGAGAGCGATTTGAAGACACAATTTTCGCTCTAACTTTTTTGTTATTTAATCCAGACAATTAGTTTTTTTGTATGTACTATAGAATATGATAAGGCATGGATATTTATTAAAATCGTGAATTAAAAAACTGTATTTTAATATCTAGGCAGTCGTATATGCATATGTGGCGTTTTATTGTGAACGCCTGTAGGTTACATATAGACATATAACCTTATTCTTCGGAAAAGTGTTAGTTAAATGCGCACATATGTCTTTATTATGCGTAAATACACAACCATAATATCTTATTGATAAAAAGGTATATGCTAATTAAATAAATTACAAAGGTTTTTTTTATTATTAAGGTTTTATTGATCAATAATTCAAAATGTTTAACAAAATGTAACTTATTTCTATAATTTTTACTGTGTATTAGACTTATAAACTTTAATATCAACAAATAAGAACAAAATAATCTAAAATTATAAAATCAACAAACTAAGTACTAGGCAACTTGCCTATTTTAAAGAAACTATGAGTAATAGGAACAAAAATAAAAAAATCGACAATAATATGAACTATTACGAGAGTATGACATATATCTATGAGCTGTAAATTATTTTTTAGTTTTATTTAAACATAAAACTTAGACGTGACAGTTTCACAATGCACAAAGCACATACAGAATTATATTATATCCAAATATAAAACAGTAAATACTAATTAATGAATGAAAAAAAAACAATAAGCACTTTCTTCTTTTTATAATTAAATTTTAACCGCAGCAATAGGGTTAATTTTTGAATCAAAAACCATTGTGAACAGATTTAAAAAAAATTTAACATTGAGCATTAAAAATAATTAATTAGTCATCTTCACTATCGCTATTAAGAATGTCATCACTATTTGTGCTAACTGGCAGAGATATAAAAAAATCTGCGTATTGGGAAGGTATTATTCCAGAATCAACTAAGCTAATGAGATCCTTATATTTATCTTTGGGTAAATTAATAGGGGTTTTGTACGCCAGTTCTAGAGTAGGGGAAAAAGTAGCAGCATTGCGTGTATTCGTGCGTATTAAAACAGTATTATAATGAATTTCGCTGAGATCATATTTATATAGTAGCTTATTAGGCTCTGATTTATCTACAAATACCTCTCTGACACGGCTCCATGAGACCTTTATGCCTTCTGTATTTTTGCACCAGACTTTGTTGTTTACATGGCTTTTTAGCTCAAAAAAATTATTTTGTGTCATGTTTCGGACTTCATAGGGATCTCCTGTACATTTGGCCCAGCGAACAAGCAAACGCCATTCGTCTGGAGTGTAAATGGTTTTTTTCTCGGCTGCTCGTTCAATAAGAGCGTGTACACTGTCCCCTTCATTCTGAGTGTGACCTTTCTCGAGAAACCGGTGTCTTATAGTCACGTTAAATTTTGAAGCCGAATAGACATAGAGAAAGAAGATGTAACGATTTCTGTTTTGCCCAGCGCAGTTGTCCGACCAAAACCTGAACTCTGTAACTCCCTTTATTACATTCTTCTCTATATAGTCAAGCAAACAACTGCTTACTTCATTTGACCCTCTCTTTGCCACCGTCTCATCCCACATATAACAAACTGCCCTCTTTCTACCCATGTCAAAAATGGTAAAGTCTAAGCAAGACAGTTTTCGCTTATAATAAAAAACACTAACCTGACCATGAGGACACGATAAAACTTTTTGTAAATCGAAAACTGCCGCCAGTATCGTACCATTTGATTCAATGGCATCACGTTTGTCGAGATCCTTTAACTTGCGAGCTGCATTTTTATGGGACAAATGTTTTTCATAATTCAGTCTTTCTTGGTCAGTGTGATCAGTTTTGTTTCGAAAAATATGACAAGTATCACACTGATCTTTTTTGGGAATGAAGAATCCCAAATTAAAATGCTTATTGACAATGTCTCGGTATTGTCGCTCAGTAGCAGCCATACTAGAATAAATCGAAGCATCAAACCATTCCCTATATAGCTGGAACATCCTTGAGATACTGAGACTACCATCCAGATAAAGTTTCGTCGAAGTTTTGCGGATATAATGTGATTCAATAGGAGCAAAGGATCGAACATGGTCACATACACTTTTGACCGTGTCAGGCTTTATTACTTGATAGTGGTTTGCATGGCGTCCTCTCTTATCTTCTTCTATAATAGTACTGCCATCATATTTATCCCAAGCTGTTTTAATAATTTTGCCACTAACGGACAGCGTGTTCAAAAACATAGTCTTACAAACGTTAACCATTTCACTCTGGCTCTGGTTTGAATTGTGTGTTGATACTGGCAGAAAGTATTTAAATGTATATTTCCGATTGTTGGGTACCTCACGATTTAAACATCTATTCTTTTGCTCCTTTTTAGAGTACCTCACTACAAAAGACCATTGTTTTTCCCGGCTTCCCAAACCCCAAAACTTCTGAAAACAATCGTATCTTTGGTCATGAGATATATTTTTAAAGCACTGATACTGGCATTTACACGGTATGCCTAAAGTTTTGTCATCGACTATCTTTCCCTTTTTGGTTACATATTTTTTACCAATATTCTTAAGGCACTTTCTTTTGATGTCTGACCATTCAGATGTACGGCGTAATCGTTTCTTTACTCTTTTCTTGGTTGATGCAGAGCATTCATCATCACTAGAATTGTTAGGTGCACTAGATGTGTTAGTTGCTGAAGGCAACTGAGTCCAATGCTCATGGATAGAACAGAAGGAATCATGACAATCTGCGTGTGAGTTCAATGGAGAAGGCACAGGTGTCGGGATAATAGGTGCTGAAATTGAAGGCAAGTCTCCAATGCTGATTGCGGGTGAATTTTCAAAGCTGGAAGGTACTTCAATTGCAAAAGGTGTTAGTTCTTCGCTATCTGCAGGCTTTAATGGAATCGATTGGTTGTCTTTAGAATTTTCAGCTACATGCAGTGACTTTAGGCTAGTTTTATTGGAAGTAACGACGGGCGTAACATGTGTTGGACCGAACACGTCCTCCCATACCTCAGCCATATCTTGATGGATGTTCTCAGCTTCTTGAGGCAGTGGTGATTGGGTAACAACTGCACGATTGTCCACGTTATGTTCTAAACACAAAAATAAGTATATTTCAAAGATTGCCTCAATCAAACCAAATATATAACTAATAATAGTCACAAGTAGTTCTAATAAATAATTAATCTAAAAATAAGATATTTTTTCAGGCTTTCATGGTAATTCCCTGTTGGAAAAAAGGTACATCGCAGTATCTTACCAAGAATAAAGTTACATATACACACAGACCATATAGTTTCAAAATAATTTCCCTCGAAAAAAGTCACATGTGCGCATAGACCTGTAATGTTTACATACTTTTCTGAGGAATAAAATAATATGTCCGAAAATATTACCAAATTTATGAATACTAAAATGTTACGAAAACATTTTAATTAACATTTCATACACATAATTTTATCTTAATTTTTCTTTGTTTACTTGTTTTTGATGAGAAAGTAAATTTTATGTAGAATAAAGTTCTATGTGCTCATGAGACCATTTAACTTTATTGTTGTGGGTAAAACTTTTGTTTGTAAGAAAAATAAAAAAATAGCTATGCTAAAGTAATTTTAATACTCAAAATACCACTGTTAACATAGGATGTTAGATTAACTTACCTGAGAAATCCAATTTTTCATGATTTTTTACTCCAGGATTACTTGCAGTATTCATTTTATCCAACGGTCTTAACAGCAGGTTTAACATATGTTTAGAACGTGTACTTTTCATTTTAAATACATAAACTTTATTTTTATTATAATTCTACAATACGCGAAAAAATGTGTACAGAACAGACGTGCGCGCAACCGTCTTTCCCCAGAACATAGGTGCGATTGAATATACGACTCGGCGCGCGCGGCTCCTTTGAGCCAATGCCGACAAAGGTTGTGATGTCGTAACGTTGTCCTTTGGAGGGAGAAACCATATGTGCCATTATTCGACTGTAATCTTCGAATCTGCTTATTAAAAAAAAATATGATTTCACTAGTTAAATAAATGGGTTTCTTTAGACTCAAAAATACAATAATAATGATTTCGTTCCATGTTCACATGTACCTTTGTTCTGCGTATAGGTCGATATTATGTAATACGTCAAGTACGAGTCCTAAAACAAAATTATGAACTTAAAACTCATTTTTACGCCTAGTTAATGTTTATGAAAATAACAGAATATGTTAAATGTAAACCTACATTACTAACATATTATTTGTCCTCCTTGGGGAAGTGTCTGGTACGACTTACCATTGACTCCCATCGAGTTGGGGGTTGATACGTATTTTTACGAAGCTAATAGTGTAACTTTTCTGTAAAAATACGTATCAACCCCCCACTCGACGGGAGTCAATGGAAAGCTAAGCCAAGTGTCTTTCTCAGTTTCTTAAAAGAACGTTGGACATACAAATTTTCTACATTGAAAAAAAGATTTATTTATGACACTAGTAAATAAAATGTGTTACTTTATGATTATGAACTAATTACTGTATTATTTTTAAATATTTTGTAGAAGGAAGATAATAGACACCTCAATCAATTCATTGCCCATGCAGCACTTGATTTGGTTGATGAACATATGTGGAAAGTGACCAACACATACTTGAAGTCGGTGGACAAGTTTAACCAGTGGTTTGTTTCTGCCTTTGTTACAGCCAGCCAGGTAAAGTTTTGACTAAACTATACACAATTGACATATGAGAAATAAATCTTATTTTCATTAATCAGTTTTCCAGATATTAATTTTTGAAATTGTTTTTTATTTATGTAAAATATAAGATTTTTTAGATTTAAGACACTTGTGACATTTTAATGTCAACTTTTACAATTTTATGAAATCTACAGCTGTTATCAAGATGCTGCTGCCCATATTCTGTTTTGTTTCCTTCTATAGCCAAATTCAACTTGACGTCAAGTTCATTTGTGCACTTAGATGGGTTGTAATGAAGGAATGAATCTGATTTTAGGCAATACAAATTCAACTGTAAATACCTTCAGGTGGATAAATAATAGCTAATAGTACTGATAATGCTTGAGCATAACTATACCAAGCTGAAATGATTATCTTTCTGAGCAACTGGACTTCAAGGTCAAGAGATGGCATGTTTCTAAGTACAACTCGGCTAAAACATTAGGCGCAGGACAGGAATGTGGTTTCGACGCCCACACCCTACTGCACTTTTCCTAGTGACCGATCACCGTTCCAGTATCCCTCCCTAGTTCTAATGATGTCTTAGCTAATTGCGCCTAATTGTTTTGGTCTTGAGTAGATACTTGTTTTAACCGGTTCAGTGCGGGTGACACGCCAGGCGTGCCATCGATTACTTTTGTGTGTGGCGTATGACACTAGAGTCGTGTCTTTTTAAAAATCATTATAACTCGCTCAAATTGCTTTTTTGTAAAATTTATCCAGAACAAAATATTCATTATTTTGCGAGTAGTTCATGCATGCAGCTTCGTTTCTGGATATTTTGAAAATTTGAAATTTTTAGGGGTTGACAACCTTTTTTTAACATGTACATGGTACTATTTTTACTTTGTGGGTTTTAAATCATGTTATGGAAAAATTGTCTAATAAGTAACAAATAATAGCACTCATTGCAATCGCTCACAAACTGAAGTTGTAAATAAATTTCTGGAAAACAAGTCTCCTGTTAAAAAAAAATGTGTTTGTCTTATTGTTTAATATTGCTTAAAATGGTTGAACTGCCGTCTTATTACTATCATATGGCCGAATAGACTTACGAAGTACCATGTGCTCTTGTGATATGGTATAAGGTTTATTTTTGCTGGAAACAGTTCGAAACCGTTCATGCATGAAAAAAGTTTGCTAATAAATAGTCTTTTGTCAATCCGCCGCCGTATAGCGCCGGCGTTTTTTTTCTTTTAACACTTGTTTTGCTATTCCTACTAAGTAGACGTTTTCAGATCGATTTTACTTTTACATTTGTATAACATTAAATAATATTTAACATTTGTAAATATCAATGAATGATACACCTTTTTTTTTTAAATTAAGGTTCTTCATTGTTTGATATTTAAAATGTTATTATTAGGTGAAAATTTAATTTAATAAAAACCAAGGTTTCCAGGGTGATTTAGCAGTACCTACTTATATAAATGATTTTTTTATAACAACAAAAATAGTACAAAAGGTTTGTAATCTCTTCATAAAAAAAGTCACTTTCTCTCAATTTCAAAGAAAACGCGTAAAAAAACACGTAGTTACCCACTAAAAACAAGTATCCTTCCATTTGTAACTTTTGATTGATGTCAAATAAACTTAAGTCTAAACAAGTAAAAAAAGCATAAAAAAGAACATTACTTTTACACTGTTGTCTGTGGCGCTTGACACGCCCGGCGTGTCGTGAAATATTTGTTCGCCGCCACAGCTAAAAGTTGTCGAAAATTGGTGCCGCAACGAATCGGTTAAGTTTTTAATATTGGGAGGTATTTATAGATAGAGGTAATTATTGGTATATGTGGTAGAGCCATGTTGCAGCTATATTAATAGTATAGTTGTAGCACGAATGGGTCGGCTCTACCGGGGAAGGACCACGCTCTCACAGAATACCAGCGTAAAAAAGCAGCTTAATGCTGCTGTTTCATATACTGAGTGTAGAGAACCGGAGACCCATTTTACTGGATAAGAGGCATTCCATCTTAGTCCTCACGGCTGACAACGCATCTGCATTTTAATTCGCAAACGAAGATAGACATCTATGGGCCACAGCAACCACTTACCATCAGGTGGACTGTGTGCTTGTTTGTCACCCTTTGTCTATAAAAAAAATTTACTTGTCTCTCTCTCTCTCTCTTCCTGGCTATGTATCCCACATGGTGGTGGGGTCAGCCTTTCTTGTCTTACGCCTCCACTTCGCTCTATCCTCGACTTCATTTTCGGAGACTTCGCACTCTCTCATGTCCTTTACCACTACATCTTTCCATCGTGTTTTGGGTCTGCCCCTGGATCTTCGACCTGGGATGGAGAGTTGTAGTGCCAAGTTCCCTACGTAGTCGGGTGGCCTCCTCTTCACGTGCCCATACCATCGCAGCCTACTTTCCTGCATCTTGTCAGCGATGTCGCGCACGCCCAAGCTTCCTCGCACGTACTCGTTGCGGATTTTGTCGCGCTTGGTAACGCCGCACATCCACCTCAGCATCTTCATCTCAGCAACTTGCATGGTATGCACATTCTTTTGAGTTACGGCCCATGTTTCACTGCCATACAATAGGACTGTTTATTTAATTTACTTGTCTAGTGTGTGTAAAATGTTGCAAATGACTGATGACCCATATTCAGCTTTAATGTCCATGCTATTCTATTTTTTTTTCTAGATGCGGTTTGTTATGGTTCACGATGCTCGCAATGAGGATGGAATCAAAAATTTTTTTACCGATGTTTATGAAGCATATATAAAACTTATGTTAAATCCATTCTACAAAGAGGACACTCTTATTACATTACCAGCCTTTGAGAAAAAAGTGCAATTCTTAGGCAAGAAATACTTAACATAATAAATTGTTAAGTATTTTGTTGTGTTTAAGTGAGGGAACTCAATGCCACGTTCCAATTTTAAGGGTAAGAGAGCCAGGATAATTACAGACTGACTAAAGCATTTCATCGTAAACCTCATTGCTGATAACACAATTTTTAAGTTGTTTGCAGGCATCCATAGGATGAATTGAAGTGCCACTTGCCATTAAGTGGTTTGGTACATAATTTTATATTAAACTTGCTGTTCCCCGCGACTTCGTCCGCGTGTAATTTAGGATTTTAAATTTTCTGCGCGTAACCCTAATTCTTTTTCTAAAATAAAAGCAGCCTAAATTCCTCTCTATAACATCAGTGCTAGTGAAAGTCCCATCAAAATCGATCCAGCCATTTTGGAGATTAGCCGGAACAAACAGACGGACAGACAAAAATTGTCTTTTTGTTATAAGTACCGTATATACTTTCATATGCATGTAGTAAGCTGTTATTTTGACATTACAAACGGACACTTAATTTTTATTTATTTGTATAGATTGAAATGTTAAATAATCCTATAATAAAGCTAACTTATCACCGATTTTGTTGAGCAATTGCAATTGTCTGTCATCTCTATATAAATAATAAGTTGTAGAGGCCGCCTCCACGAAGCGAGAGAATCGCGGAGAGTCCACGCTTCTATCGTCGGGGTAGTCTCCACGAACGAGCGATTATTCCCCCAGCGTATCGTCGCGACTCGTAACGGAATCGCCACGTGTCCGCGACGACTCGTAACATCATCGACACGTTGCCGCGACGAAGCGTTGTGCAATAGTTTTGCGCGCTGTCGAACGCATGCGTCGCGCCTGCGTTTGACAGCGCGCTCGCCACGCACTCGCTGCGAGAGCGCCACGTTCCGTGGCGAGCGCGCGGCGTTACGATGACGTTTCGCTCGCACTCAGCCACTCGTCGCATCGCCGCGATAACATCTCCGTGTGTAGACACGTTCTAAGAGAGTGTATAGAAATACGTGGCACTACGATAATATCGCCGCGATTCGCTCGCTCGTGGAGGCGACCCCGTAGTGTATGAAATATGTATTTTATCAAGTTTTTTTTTAAATTATATAAACAGATATTACGAGCACATATCCAATGAGCGTTTTTCTATTATTTTGGAAGGAAATTTGCACGAAATTTGTCTACACTTGCCATCGAGCGCCGATGGCGATACGAAAGCGAATACTGGTCCAGCAAAAGCTTCACATGATCCTGTATATGTATTGCTAGCAGTATGCTTCTTTTGTGACCGCCCGATGTTATTCAATAAGATATAATTTCAATATCAAGTAAGTCTGACTGGCTAAGCATAATATGTTAGATCATTGTTTTTAACCCTTAACCAGGCAACAAGGGTTTTATTGAGTGATATTTGTGAAATTTAGGAATTTGTTTAAATAAAAATAAAGAAACAAAACCATGATTTTTTTAATTACATTTTTTTTTTATAAAAAAGCCTGTGGTCCATATAAGTACCTTACCCTGTCTGGTAAACATGTTGTGGTCTCTATTGGTACCTTACCCTGAATCAATAGTAAAATTAAATTTCTTGAGTATTTATTTATTTTCTTTATTTGGATGAACATGTTACAAATTATGAGGCACATAGGGTAAATGAAACCTTTCAAAACATGGTGATATGCATAGTGGAACTTTGCATGAACTGCACTCTATTTTAGACCGCTTGGGATTAGTTCTAGTGCTGCAGAAACGGCAACGCCGTTTAGTTCCAGCTCGTGGCATGTGTACACCGACTTTGGCCAGTCGCACCTCATCCGAAATTTTGTAGACACCTCCTTTCTTATTTTTTAATATGGTGGAACATGCCTTGCGGGAACTAAAGTTGTTGACTAGGCCCCTGGCAACACGTAAACGAAATTGGCGATGACTACTATTGCGCATGACGTGTCCCTGGCTGTAGAGTATGTAGGCATTTATAAGAGCAGCTTCAAACAGGAACCAAAACAGGCGGAACCAGCTTTTCTTTGACTTACGGCCTATAGAGTAAGAGCTCCTGAAGTGGTCAAAGCGATCAACTCCCCCCATATTTTTTACGTATTCTACAATGGCCAAAGGACAAAACATGTTTTTTTTTGTTCCATCTTTCTGTTTGCGTTTTATGATTTGTACCCTTTTTGGATCAAATGCAGTAGTAGCAACATACACATCTTTAGTATCCATCCATTTGATTACTGATATAGGAGCAGCATGTTGAAACATAAATTCTCCTGGTTTTAGGCACATTTGGTCTCTTGTTCCCCTCTTTACAGTTATTTCAGCTGGAAGGCCTTTTCGGTTGACTCGGATTGTACCCACAGCATATATATTTTTGTGATGGAGCATCTCCAGAAGAGGCAAACTAGTAAAAAAATTATCGAATGCCATTAATGTGTATGGTTGGACATTTCTACATAGATCCATTACCACTCTGTATCCAAGACCACCAGAATTTTCATCTGTTGAAGTGACCTTACCTTGGCCCTTATCAAATGAGTATAGGTATCCAGACTCAGTCACAGCGTGCCCAAATTTTGTACCCTCGTTTGATTGGTTTGTTTGGCATGTACTGTTTCATGCTACTTCGACCCTTGAACTTTACCATGCTCTCATCTATGCTTTGTGATGAAGATTGAGTACACATGCTTGAAAAATTATGGTTTAGAATTCCAATCAATGGTCTGATTTTAGCTAATTTATCATAATTTGAATCACTGCGTTCCAATTCAATGTTTGGGTTGTTCACATGAAAGTTTTCTATTAGTTTTTTGTAACGTTTTAGGGTCATCACTCGGCTAATTACTGGGTTATTGTAAAAATCATCAGTGGACCAATAAAGCTCAACATCAGTCAATGGATTTAAGCCCATCATTATAATAACACCAAGCAAGGCACGCATTTCTTCATTATTTGTTTCTACCCAGTTTCTTGATTGATTTTTTATAGCATATAGATTAGTATTTTCCACCAGAATATCAATTATGTTTGATGTAAACATGTGTTCAAAGTAATCTATAGGCAAATGTCTGTTATTATAAGAAGTGGTAGGTCTAGCTTTAGTTTCAAAGACTGGAAATGCTTGATTTTCAATATTAGTTGACCAAGATCTGTCTTTTTGGATCAATTGAGTATAGATGACAATATCACTAACTGGAGGAGATAATGGTTGAACTGGAGATGGTGGTTGAACTGGATATGATGGTTGAACTAGAGATGGTGGTCGAAACGGAGATGGTTGTCGAAACGGAGATGGTTGTCGAACTGGAGATGATGGTTGAACTGGAGATGGTGGTGCAACAAAAATATTGGCAACTGTGCTAGTTGGTGTATTATAACCTTCAATCCCCAGGTTCTCAGGTTGTATTATTTGACTTTCTTGACCTGTTTCAGTTACAGGCTCAGCAGAGGAATGAGATGATGCTTCGTTTTTATTACTAAGTATATCTAGGAGCTCTTCAGTAGTGATATTTTGTATCCTATCTAGCCTTTTGTTCAAGATGTCAGAAAAATCTTCATTTAATTCATCATCGTCAGTATCCTCACCTTCTGATGACAACAGGCTTTGAAGATGAGCTTCAATAACTTTGTCTTTCAGCGGCATGGGCTAAAAAACAAGAAAACTCATCAAAATATGTCTTACAAATCGAGGTGCGTAATGGACAATGATCATATATGGACCACATAATTCAAGCAATCGTTACAATAATAAAAATAATGTTAACGATAAACAAAATACATTTAGATTATGAAAAAACTCTCAAATATATGTTACTGAACACCAAACAATACTTACTGGATTTTTTTAGGCATTTTCTACAATTTACTGCAACTAACACACAAAAACAATCATCTGTTGATCAAAAGTGAGAAATGTCAAATATTTTTTTCTTTTTTGTCTCTTAGGTGAGTTTCAATTTACTCCAACTGCTTTCAAGTCATAAAAAATATTATTGTCTATGACTGTTTGACATATTGTGGTCCTTAACTACATCTTGCCCTTTAAAATCACCCAAAAACTTAAGTGGTCCTCTATAGTACTTTGCTTGGTTAAGGGTTAAATATATGTTAAGTTTCCGTGGGTGTCGGTAAAGGGCAACAAAGTTAAATAAAACAAGAAATGAGAAGCAGTATTTTTCTAAGCCCACCTGTCAAGCGTGGCAACTGTGACAAATATTTGCACTCTGTGTAGTTTGGTCCAACTTGAGAGATAGGATAGTTTTTATCCTGATAAGTGACACTCAATATTTTTTTATTAAGAATTTAAGGATTTTTTATATGGAGGGTCGAACATCTGAGCAACATCCCAAATAGAACAACGTCTGCCTGGTCAGTTAGTATAGTAATAGAATACCCTATGTTCAGCTGTGGACTTTTGATAAGCTGTAATTTTGATAAGTTTTGTTGAAGATATAAAATTACTATCAAATTAAATTATGGGCTTGAGGGAAGGCGAAGACAGCCCCCCTTTAGGGTTTACTGGTTGCAACTCAATTGAAATGGAAAAATATGTTAATGTTAAGTTACTTTTCTTTTTGTGAACTAGTGTTTCTTTATAAATTAGAAAAAATTTGCTTCACTTAAATACCAATTAAGCGAAGGTTCCTAGTAATCTTTACTGCTTAGTACTGGCTCCTTTACCATTAGTTTTGGAACACTTCATTCCTGCTTTTAAGTTCATATTACTCTACTATATCTTTATTTAAAAATTGTAAATAGAAATAAGCTTTATTAAAGACTAAAAAAGTGGATATTTGTAAATAAACACTGTTAATAAATTACAAATAAATTAAATCAGAATTTTTATTATGAATGGAATAGTGTTACCTTAAATCAGAAAAACAAAATGTTTTGTTAAAAATCTTCAAAAGGTTTTTGGTAAATAAATGTAAAGAATACTCTATATTCCTACATGTTATGACTAACTTTGTTTTAATTACATTTCATAAAATGTTTGCAAAGAATTTAGTTTTAAACAAAACAAAGTGTTCTTCTCATTTATTAAGTTTTAAAGGAACAAAAATATCCCTTTAGTATTTTTATATTGGTTAATTTTTATATTAAGTCATTACTCATTATCAAACCAAGAGTTTATATAAGTAATAGGCGGAACACACATTTTTTTCCTTGTACTATTCATATTTTTAACAAGTCCTTAACAAATATAATTAGGGTACTAGCAACATTTGCTCCATGAGGAATGTGTTGAATTTAATACAGTGCAGGTAGTTCAAGATCATTGTCATCATAAATGTTTCCACATGAAAAATCATCTGAGGAAAGAAAATATTAAAAAAATTAAAGCATTTTATACATACAAAACATTTATCAATGTGTCAGAGCGTTTATAAAATACCCGGTTGGATCGAGGTGGAATAGAGGGTATATCGAGAAACCCCCACTTGTTTGTGCAGTATAAAGTTCACTGTAGGCACCATGCGCCAAAGATTCCACTTAAGTCATACAACGAGTGTAGTCATTCTACTAGTGCTAAGATAGTGTCGTAATTCTTCGGAATCGGATTCGGGAAAATCGGGATCTTCTGTTGAATCTCCGACAAATGTTTAATAGTAATTGTTCATTTTTTAGAATGATGCTGATTCATTTTTCTCATAGTACCAGAACTATGAATATTTACAACTGTGAAAAGTTATAAGAACTGCTGTGGATTTTTGAAACATCTTGCACATTGTCTTGTTCTAGTAATTCATCACGATCATCACACGCAATATAAATGGCATATTTGATGGCTCTGTGGTGCAGTGGTTAAGCAATGAGTTTGAATCCCGCACTGAATAAGTATTATAAGTAATTTCACGAACGCACATCGCGGCAGAACTCCCGATACCATCCACACCATCTGGATGATTGGCGGTCCACCACTGTGCGATTTAGAAGATGTTTTCTTCCTCGCACGACTTCCTTGTGGAATCGATTACCATCAGCGATTTTTCCGGACCGATACGACTTGGGGACCTTCAAGAAAAGAGCGTACTCCTTTTTAAAAGGCCGGCAACGCATCTGCGATTCCCTCCCTGGTGTTGCAGCTGTTCATGGGCGGCGGTAGTCACTTACCATCAGGTGAGCCGCATGCTCGTTTGCCCCCTCTCCTATAAAAAAAATTATTAATATGGCGTACAAAGAATTGTTTCAGGTTTAGATGTTTGTCCTTGTGAAATTTATGCATGTAAACTGCCTCCACAATACAGGAGAAAATCCTAGTGTGGGGGTAAAATTTTATAAAAGAAATAAAATAAAGATTGTACTCCTTGGTCCTCTATACAATTTGCTGAGGGGCATTGATGTGGTCTGTGGTACTAAAGCTTCAAGCTCGACAGGCTTGTTCGGGAAGTTGGAAGTCATCAAAGCTGCATGCAAGATAACTCATAAGGACTATCAAAAACAGCATGTAGACATAGCTTCGAAGGGAAATCTGTCTCCAAGTCTAAACACATATTTTTTCCCCTTTTTGGTATACAAAGTATATTTAAGGTAAGGATAAGTCATTTAATAAAATATTATACCTGTGAAGAACTCATCCTGATATGAGTAGTCAAAATCTAAAGAGTGTCGTCTTATTTCTGGTGGGGGAGTACTGCGTGGTGACTCATGTCGCACCACATTAAGCTCTGGCAGAGGAAGATAATCAAATAAATCCTTGTGGTAGTTATCTGAAAGAAATTACACATTGTAACACTAACATTTAACGGGTATTTGACACTAGTCAGCTAAAATACTTTTTGATATATATCAAAGAAAAGTATATCATTATATAAACAGTAATATAAATAGTGTTGGACAAAGTCACAGGTATCAGCTAGTTTAATAAATATAAGGAATCCATAACTAATTATTTTATTGCAAAAAATCTATCTGACATTATTATTCTCATCATCATTACAGCCCTTCACAAGACAACCATTCTGCTGAACATAGGCTTTCCCCCTAGGAACGCCACAAAGCACGGTCCTGAGCCACCTGCATCCATCGACTTCCTTTATGTCTTACTAGGTTGTCGCTCTAGTGGGGGTTCTGAAGGTGCCACTCAAGAATCTTTATTCCCCACATAATGAGTAATGATTTTCATCATCATCATCATCATTACAGCCCTTCACAAGTCCACTGCTGAACATAGGCCTCCCCCAAGGAATGCCACAAAGCACGGTCCTGAGCCACCTGCATCCATCGACTTCCTGCATGTCTCACCGGGTCGTCACTCCATCTAGTGGGGGGTCGCCCTACACTTCGCCTACCGGTACAAGGCTGCCACTCGAGAATTTTTCTTCCCCATCGTTTGTCGGTTCTTCGAGCTATATGGCCGGCCCACTGCTACTTCAGCTTACTAAACCGTTGGGCTATGCCGGTTACTCTGGTTCTACTGCGGATATCCTCATTTCTAAATTTATCACGCAGAGACACCCCGAGCATAGACCTCTCCATAGCTCGCTGAGCGACCTTGAGCTTCCTCATAATGACAGCAGTGAAGGACCACGTCTCAGATCCGTAAGTCATCACTGGCAACACGCACTGGTTGTGCAATTTCGTTTTCAGGTTTTGAGGTATCTCTAACGAGAAGATGTGTCGTAGTTTCCCGAACGCTGCCCAGCCGAGTTGAATCCGTCGATTGACCAATCGGTCGAAGTTGGACTTACCTAGTCGGACTATTTGTCCCAGGTAACTCAAACATACTCGTCAACAAATTCGAGCTTAGTGCTCCCAACAACTACCGGCATAGGTGTGACATGGACGTTAAACATGATCTTTGTTTTGTCCATGTTCATCTTAAGACCTATCCGTTGAGAGACACTATTGAGGTCATTGAGCATACTGCTTAGGTCCTCCAGCGATCCTGCCATAAGGACTATATCGTCGGCAAATCGAAGGTGAGTGATGTACTCGCCATTGATGTTAATACCGTATCCTTTCCAGTCTAGAAGCCTGAAAACGTCTTCCAATTCAGCGGTGAAGAGTTTCGGTGACATAACGTCACCCTGTCTTACACCTCTCTGCAGTTGGATAGGTTTCGTACTCTGATTCTGTACTCGGATAGCCATCGTAGCTCTGCTGTACAAACACTTCAGCACTTAGATATACTGACAGTCAACTTGGCACCGCTGAAGGGACTGCAGCACCGCCCAAATTTCGACGGAATCAAAGGCTTTCTCACAATCCACATACAAGGCAAAGTGGCAGATTATACTCCTCTGTCTTCTGTACAATCTGCCGCAAGGTATGTATGTGGTCCATGGTACTAAAGCCTTTTCGGAAACCGGCTCGTTCGGGAGGCTGGAAGTCGTCAAGTCTGCGAGACGATTCGTAATGACTCGAAAACAGCACGTAGACGCGGCTCAAGGGAAATCGGTCTGTAGTTCTTCAAGAGAGCATTGTCGCCTTTCTTGAAGAACAAGACCACCGCACTTCTGCTCCACGCCTCTGGAGTAGTGCCACCATGGAGGACGGAATTAAAGAGCTTCTGAAGGACTAAGTACCGGTTTTCCACCCGCTTTCAAAAGCTCCACTGTAATTCCATCCTCGCCCGGGGACTTGCCGTTTTTAAGGTGCTGGAGAGCCATTCTAATCTCGCTCAGACTGACGTCCGGAATATCATCGGAATAGTGTCGGATAAGACTCGCTCTTAGATCGTTACACTTGTGTATGGCTCCACCGATGACATGTACAGATGCACATAGAACCTCTCAATCTCACTCAAAATCTCAGGTGTCCCGGAAACGATGCTGCCACACTCGGTCTTCAGCTTTGACAGTTGGCTCTTTCTGGCAGACAGATCCCTGGCAAAGACTTTGGAGCCTTGGTTCCGCTCGATCGCTTCTTCAATACAAGCTGTATTGAAGTTGCGTAAGTCCTGCCGCATGCATTTGGAGATCTGTCGGTTCAGTTGCCCGTATGCTGTCAAATTTGTTGAAGAGTGTAGCTTTATCTCCCGTCTAACAGCCATGAGATTAAGTGTGATCGGAGAGATTTTGTGTTTTTCTGCGACGGGTCTTGCAGAACTTAGCTCAAACCGCATGGACAGTTTCCACGAGCTTGTCATTCATATCGTCCACTGTATTGCAGTCTTCTAGGCACTGAAAACTGTTTTGTAACTGGAGCTGAAAGGTTTCGGGACTTTGGGACAGAGCACGAGGGGGACGGAACGTTGACTTCATTAGACGAGACCTCTCCAACTTAACGTTTAGGTTCAGTGTGCCTCTAACCATTCGGTGATCGCTACCAGTATTCACCCTCGCGATTACGGAGACATCACTGAACAGTTGTCGTCTGGTCGTCATAATGAAGTCAATCTCATTTTTTGTCAAACCAGGGCTCAACCAGGTCCACTTCCTGTGGGGCCGCTTCTGGAAGAAAGAGTTCATCATAAAGAGTCCCTCTTTCTCCATGAAGTCGGCCAGCTGCTGGCCCCTTGGGTTCCTTTGCCCTATTCCAAATTTCCCTACTCTCAGCTCACCGTTCTCTCTTGTGCCTAGTTTTGCATTGAAATCTCCCATTAACACCGTATAGTGGGTTTTGGAGGATTGCATGGCTCTAGAGATATCCTCATACATTTCCTCCACCTCCTCATCGGGATGTGCCGAGGTTGGTGCGTAAACCATACAGGTTGACCTTCAGCGAATACCGTTTGGTGATTCTGAGTATAAGGTACGCAACCCTCGTCGACACACTCCCAATCTTTACAACGTTGTTAACGAGAGACTTGTGGATGATAAATCCAACACCTCCTTGGGACAGATGGTTGCCCTCACGGTGATAGAGCAAGTTGCCGGATTCGAGGATTACCGTGTCTTCCCCCTCTCTTCGGACTATAATATGCCAGCGTAACTTTTCTATCTCTTCTTCCAGCTCCACGATCTTCTCGCCAGTCCTCAGGGTGCGTGCATTGTATGTTGCCAGGTCGAATCGTTTTAGGTGGCAACCGAACCTCCACCGGAGATTCTTAGCACCCCCTGCCCCGCCGTTACCATAGTCGCCACCGTAGCCAGGAATAGCGGGGCCGTCAGGAACTGGGGGCCGTCTCTTTGTTGCTCTCATCATAGGGAGGTATTTGCCAAAGTTGCCACGCTTGGCGAGCGTGTTGGCAACCGCAGTTTTCTTATTGTACTTTTGCTGTTATCAGGAAGATGCTGCTGCCCATCTTCTGCCTGTTTCCCTTTGTCGCCTTTTACGACACCCACGGGAAGATATGGGGTAGTGGATATTCTTAACCACCACTACACGGCATAAAGTAATAATTTTATAAATGATAAATTTGTAGTTTTAATTTTATTTCATCACCATCATAACAGCCCTTCACAAGTCCACTGCTGAACATAGGCCACCCCCAGGTAGTGCCACAAAGCACGGTCCTGAGCCACCTGCATCCATCGACTTCCTGCATGTCTTACCAGGTCGTCACTCCACCTAGTATGGGGACGCCCTACACTTCGTCCGCCGGTAAGAGGCTGCCACTCGAGAACCTTTTTTCCCCGTCGGTTGTCAGTTCCTCGAGAGATATGGCCGGCCCATTGCCACTTCAGCTTACTAATCCGTTGGGCTATGTCGATTGGCTTATGGCAATTTTATTTACTAACATTTAATTTGTACTATGATATAATTTCTCTGACATTTTTATTAAGCAAACTTGATAAGTAAAATTAAATGCTCTTTGGTATCATTATACACAGAAATAGTATGTCAAATAATCATCTTATGTATAAATGCTAAAAAGCAAGGACAGGTGCATTCTCTATTCCTTTCAAATTTATTCAAATTCAATTCAATTCAAAAGAGCATACTCCTTTTTAAAAGGCCGGCAACGCATCTGCGATTCCCTCCCTGGTATTGCAGCTGTTCATGGGCGGCGGTAGTCACTTACCATCAGGTGAGCCGCATGCTCGTTTGCCCCCTCTCCTATAAAAAAGAAACACAGTTGACAGGGTCTTAAGTTAAATATTTATAATGTACATGTGTTTAGTCGGCTCGCAGACGTGCAAATATAATATGTAATAAATAATACAAAAAAAAAAACTATCTGTAAGTGGATCACATAAATCATTGAACTAATTTTTCCATTCTAGAAATTCTTTTAGGCTATATAAACAATGTTCCAGTAGCAATTTAGTTAAATTATTTTTAAAAGAGACTCCTTCTTTTTCTTTTAAATTCTTAGGTAATGTGTTATATAATAATATGCACATGTTATATACATTTCTCTTATACATATTTATATGACAGGGAGGTTGATATATTAGGTCTGCATATTTACTTCTTAAACGCCTTATTGTAGTATCTTGGTGGGTTTTAAAATACTTAGGGAATGATTTGACAAAAAGACAGGCTTCTTTGATATATAAACAAGGTAATGGAAGAATATTATATTTTTTTAAATAAGGTTTACAACTATCTAAATACCAAATGTTGCTTAAGGCACGGATGCATCGTTTTTGAACTAAAAGTGCTCTTTGTATCACAATACAGTTACCCCAAAGGAATATCCCATAGCTAAGCACCGATGATGGGCTATACATATATGAAAAGCACATAACTTTAAAACTTTAGTAATGATACCATCATGCCCACAGGATTTTCTATTTTTTAGTGACATTATGATATTGTTAATTTCGTTTTTGTTGGTGGGTTTTAAATATATTGTATGAGAATTCCAATCAATCTTTTCTTTTTTTAAATATTTTTGTGAGTATTATCAAGATTAGGCGTCAGTTTGGAGGTTTCATTGCTAAAATAATCATTAAAGGAGTTACAGATGTATTGGGGATCCAAATGTGTAAAATTATTTATTGTAATCATATTGATATCATCACTATGCATCTTGTCAGACACAGTTGAAGAAATGGCATTCCAAGTTGCTCTACCTATATTTTTACTGTTTAATATTACTTTATGGTTATAAACTTTTTGTGCAGCATGGATACATTTTCTTAAAACTTTACTATATTTATGAAAATTGAGCCTATTTGTTGGTTTACTAGTTTGTGATAATCAATATTTTAAATATAATTGTTGTTTATTTTTACTTGATATCCTTAGACCTTTAGTGATCCATCTTAATTTACGAGGTCTATTATTTACTTTGATTTTAATGATAGGAAAACAGAGATCATAGAACATGCAGAAAAGGTCGTAAAAACTTTTAAATGCTTTATCAAATTTATTTGATTCTGAAACTTCAGAGAAAGTGAAGCTGGTAATACAATCATAGAACTTTTTCATATTATCAACATTATAATCTCGTTTGTATTCAAACTAGGAATTATAACACTTTTGCTTATTGCCTTTAAGTGTTACAGTTTGTGCTGTTTCATGATCTGAAAGGCCTAAATTAAGTATTTCTGCATGTATCTCTTTTACATTGCTAGCAATTTGATACAATGATACAAACAAGTGTTCCCTCTCGTTGGTTGCTCAATATGAGTACAAAAGTTAAAACTTGTAAGGATACTTTTTAAAGCTTCAGTGTGTATATTTAATTTGAGGATATCAAGGTTCCAGTCGCCACAAATGATAATTTTCTTCCTATGGTATTTGCTAGTTAAATAATGTAACAATTTTCCTAGTTTATGTAAGAACATTCCTATTGAAGATACCTTCACTCTCATAATCCGATGGGACAGTTAAGGAGAGTAATGATTTTATAAATGATAAATTTGTAGTTTTCATTTCATTTAAATTTTATTTACTAACATTAATTTGTACTATGATTTAATTTCGCTGACATTTGTATTAAGCAAACTTAATAAGTAAATTTATAAGTATGCACTTTGGCAATTTTGTAAATAATGATACATTAATATTTGCATGCTGATAAGATTATTATTGGTAAGAAATGCAGGATGTGGTGGCGCTAGGATTGGTGGTGATGAGGATGGTGCACACAATTGAGAGAGGGTGGAAAGTACTCTAAAGTTTGGGCAGGACATCATTTTATTTTATTACATGGAAATTAGCAAATTAAGTTCTAACAACTTCAATACATGATAGTGTTGTTATAAGCATAAAAGGTACAATAAAATAGCTTACCATATTTGTTTGAAGGTTTGGTAAATTCTAAAGCTTCAAAGTTACATTCACTATTAGTTTGGTCATCATCATCGGTGTAGATAAGAGCACCAACATTTACCACCTTGGGCGAGAAAACTTGCCGCGCCGGTGTACTCTGAAGTGCTTTACCAGTATTTGAAAGGAAGGATTTCTTTGTTTCACCTATCTTTTTGGTTGGTTCATTTGGTTTAATGGGACCAGTTGACACCGTCTTTCCCATGTTTTCTATAGAAAATTAAACAATTAATAAGAATTAGGTACTACAAAGTTAGGTTAAATTAAAACGTAAAACTAATCTTACCAATGTTCATTAACGGTTGGCGCGATACATTTTTCATCGCCTGTCTCGTTGCGTGGTCCCCAAATATATCAAAAAGCGATTCAGCCATATTAGTAAATTATAAAACAAGGTAATTGCTTTCAAACTTCAATGTGGTTAATTAAACAGTCGCACACAAAATTAAAAATAGTAAGATCACAACAGAGAACAGAGCTATCTGTCCGGTATCCGTTGCCGTTAATTTAAATTTATATTTTTTAATTATTAAATATTTTGGGTTAGATGCTTGTCTTTTAAGCTATATCTTCATTTCATTCGGGATCTTCGTTTTATATATTTTCTAATGTAAATAAGCTGGCGTACTTGTATATTATATAGAGGTCAGTGCATATCTTGAACTGACCTGAACCACGGAGTACAATATATATACCAGGGCCCTCTCAGTAAAAAGTAATCGTGTTCTGTGCCTGGTCCTGAACTGACTTGACATGAGGTTTTAGCCTGAACTTGAGCGAAGGCTGCTCCTATATTATTATTATTTAAATAATGGTTTGAAGTGGATTTTGATATGGAAAAGTAGTGCGATTTTGTGTATTAAATGTCTTGTGAATTATTAGTGGAAACGGTGAAACAAGTGCTCCGATGGTGATGTGAATCTCATGTGTCATGGTGTCTGTCTGCTTAGGCGCCTTAAGATACAATCGCCAACTGTCTACTGGATCAAGTTGCCATCAAAATCTGCCAAAAGCTACGCAAGGTAACGTATGATTATATTATTATGCAGTGTACTTTATAGAATTATTATCACTTAATACTGAAAATCTATAAAAAACAAAGAGTCCGTATGAAATGAAGGAATGGCTTAAAGAACAGGTATCTAAACCTAAAATCTTGATAAAAAAAACTGCATTAACCATGGAGGTATTGACATTAATCTGTCAAGCCTTTGAAGTACACATGAGGCAATCCAAGGTCAACTTTGTAGAACGCTCCAAAGAGTATGGTAATATTTAGAAAGGACCCCTCAGAACCAAAGAGTATATGATCACTACACTACGTTTAGTCAGAACCATAGTTATTGTGCTCATAACAATTATTTTTTAAATGTTATTTAGATGAACTATAAAACTAAAATTTTATTAGAATTAGTTTCGTTATTAAATTACGCTTCTTTAAATTAACAGAATTTACTTCAAATGACGAGTTTCCGCCTCGCGTCGCGTTTACGTCACATACTTTAGTCTTATATCCTTCGCCGCGTGAGTGTAAGAGGCAACTAGAAATTTTACAAAAAATTAAGTGGGTACAATAGAAAGTTTTTTGTTAGTTTTTATACAAATGGTAAGTAATTACACTGTTTTAAAATTTAATTCCTTATATTTTGCTTCGTAACAATTTCATATATTTTATAAAATTGCCATTTCAAATACTGTGTCGTTCAACTATCACTATATTTAATAGCCAGAATTAACTGAAAAGTAAATAAAAAGTGTGAGTTATCACAATAAATCATGTAATAAACACAAATTTTCATATCCCACAAAGTCCAATGCGCGAAAATTACGTTTTATGTTATAATTTCGATATATAGTGAACATTATGGCGAAGTTGTTTTCAACAATAACTAAAAATAAAAATGTGAATGTGAAGCACCAGCTTTCAAATAAAAAAAGAATCATCGAAATCAGTTCACCCAGAAGGTTATGAGGTAACATACATAAAAAAACACAGTCGACTTCCTTCTCCTGTTTGAAGTCGTTAGAAAAATGACGTTGCTCAAAGATAGCGTAATAAAGTATATACTTTATTACGCTATCTTACGGATGTACAAGTATATACCTGTGATTTAATTTTTTTTGAGGCTTCTACTGAGTTTATCGATATATTATATTGTTGATAATTTTTTATTTTTGGATATGAACATAGTAATGACTCTAAGTTATTTTTACCATTTTTTTTAAAAAATCGTCTGGCCTGACCTACTATACTCTTTGGCTTGACCATAGTTCTAACTAAATATGTCCAATAAAATGTCAAGGTCTGAGAGGTTAAGATATAAGATACGTAATTCGTACTTATGTATTATGGAGTGTAGAGAGGATGGACCATCTCTAAAGTGCGTGCAAGATAACTCTGCGCGCGGCCAAAATTGGAACTAATCGTGTGCCGCCATCTTAACGTTTATGGCAGGTGTCAAAACAGATTGTTAGGTGTCGTGTTTTTATTCGTTTTTGCAGTAAATAATCGTCATCATTATGCCGAAAGTAATTAAAATTGCTGGCAGGGATATTACCTTGAAGGTCAAACGTGCTTGTGAAGAAGAACGAGACAAGAACGGGCGTACAGTACCGTTTTCCAAAGTTAGAGCCCACGTTTCATATTTCACAGGTAATTTTTAGGGCTGCCATAACAAATAAAACTCCCTAATTTTCTCGATTTGTTCGTTTTAAGTTTCCTCGTGTCATTAATATCATTTATTTATAATGCGTTGTTTTATTATGTTTTAGGCGTTTCTGAACTCACCATCACCCAAATAACTCAAGAGGGTACATAATGTATCAGTAGCTTCATCTTCTAAAATTGTGACACCGGGAAAAACTAGAAACCGGAGGAAAAAATTATGATTTAGACGATTTTCATAAGGCATTTAAATCAATCGTTTGACGTTGTGAAGAAAGAGATTCCTGCCATAAATAAGCTTTGGTTGGAATTGAAAGCTGATATTGATTTTAAATATGGTAGAACAACGTTGAGTAGTAGCTTAAAGACTATGAGCTACGAATACAAAAGGTGCCAGTTTAAATGGATAAATTTATAATTAATGACACAGGCCGACACATCCGAGTCTTCTAATGAAGACTAGCATGGATTCTGATGAAGATGTGAGAATGAAAGGTGTTGACCCACTGCAGGACCACTGTTACGCCAAATTTACAAATAGATTTAGCTATTCAATAAAAGATTTAGAAGATTTCCACTGACTTTCGTTCTTTATAATAAATATTTTTAAAATAACTTTTTTGAAAAATTCATTATAGACAAAATACCTTCACCTATAATTATATTAAAAAATTGAAAGTTAAATTTCACCAACTTTTAGGTTCTCGATGGAGCGGAAATTTTGCAAAAAATTTTGGAAAAAAGAATGGAGTGTAGAGTAGAAGGAGAACCGTCTTATAAGGGGCAAAAGTTGAAAAAGTGTCCTACTATTTACTGAAAATAGAGGTTCCAAAACCTACCACAATAGCACTGGCGTCTGAAAAACTACGATATGAAGATAGCTGTTGTAAACGGAGTGAAGTCAGCTGAATTCAAATATTTAAAAAATTTCATGACTAGAGTAGTTAGTAAAATGCCAGTATACAAAATCTCAACTATTTACGTAGTACAAAACCAAGCGGATTGGTCGGTCCTTGTTTATTTCTCCATCTTATTCTAATTACTTTTGGCGCATTTTTTTAAATTTATCCTAGGCTACTGCAGTGGCACCCTTATTGGACACGTTTTTAGGGACACTTTTTTCATATACAGAGATGGTCCTTCTACTCTACACTCCTTATAATTCAGAATTTATTTAGCTTGCTACCACAGACTGATACTTCTTCTTCTTCTTCTTCTTTCTTTTTTATGGTGGTTTTGATCATTCGCCAATGTCAGCGTGAAAGCGTTTATTGAGTAGAAGCTCAGTAGTTACAAATACTATGCCCATATACAAGAGAAGATTGTGATAGTACAAGTATCTTTTTTCCTTTAAACCAATTTTTTCCCCTTTTATCTTGTAGTACTAATGGTTATACTGTTGAATTACCTAGAACAAATGACAAACACGGTTGCTATAACTACATTAGTATGTTAGTATTGACAAACATTAAACTTTTATACCATTAGTGTTAATAAAATCACACAGAATATATACATAAGGAGTGTTTGTGTAGGTTAAAAGTGAATCAAAATTTATAGGACGAGGGATGTCAGGAGGGAGATAATCATAGAGTGAACAAGATAATTTAGGACAGTTAAAAAAAATATGGTCGGAGGTTCCCTCATCCAACCCACATTCGCAGAGGGAACTATCCCTAATCCTCAGTTTGGCCAAATGTACTGGTGTACAAGCGTGGCCAATTCTAAGTCTACAAATAGTTGATGTAGAATGTTTATTAGCTTTATTGAATTTGAAAAACCATGGTTTTGGAAGGATGGCACATTGTATAGCAGCATAGTGTTTACCTTTTATATTTTGAGTGGCTTTCCATAATGTATTCCAATTATTATTTAACTTCTTCTTTGCAAGTAACACTATGTCTGAGGAGTAAGTTAAATTACATGGCAAACCATTTCGACTGGCATTTTTAGCCATAAGTACAGCTGTTTCATTGCCCTTGATGCCACTATGACCTGGAATCCAAGCTAAGGAAACCTGTATGCCCTTGAGATGACATCTATACAATGTGTGTTTAATTTTGAGGATCAAGGGTATCTTATATTTACTTTGGAATTGGTTTGACAAAATTGCTAACAAACAACTTTTGGAGTCGGTAAGAATAACTGACTTATTTAAGTTGTGTGCTTCTATATATATTAAAGCTTCATGAATTGCCGTGGCCTCGCCAGTAAAAGTGGAAGAAATAGAAGGGCATTTAAAATTAAGAATTATTTTGAATCTGGGAATCCAAACTGCTGCTCCAATACAACTTTCATCGGACTTTTTGGAGGCATCAGTGTATATAGTAAGCCAGCCTTTCCATAAATTATCTATGACTCTACTTACTTTACTATTTGCTATAGGGCAATCTTTCTCAATACCAAGGTCGAGGTGGATATTTGGTTGGAAAATGATTGCATCATATGGGATATCAAATATGGGGCAGGACTTGAATTGTGATACTGGGTATGGTAGGTGGAGTAATGTTACCAAACTGTTGGATAAGCAGGGAGATTCTTTATGAGTCCAGTAATGTTTTGACGAAATATATTCCAAAAGGAGGTGTAGTTTAGAAATGAGAGGGTGGGAAGAGAGTTGGTAGATTTTAAAAAAGTATCGGTCCGAAAGATATTGCCTTCTTAGATAAAGGGGAGGGTCCACACATTCAACTTGGAGAGCATTTATTG